CTCCTGGGTTCAGGCAATTCTCCTGCCTCAGCCTCCTGAGTGGCTGGGATTACAGGCATGCGCCACCATGCCCAGCTAATTTTTTGTATTCTTAGTAGAGACGGGGTTTCACTGTGTTGACCAGGATGGTCTCGATCTCTTGACCTCGTGATCCACCCGCCTCGGCCTCCCAAAGTGCTGGGATTACAGGCGTGAGCCACTGCGCCCGGCCTGTGCTAGTTTTTCTTGCGCACTGAGCATCTGTTTCCAACACTGGAGAAGGCCTGGACACCACGGGCCGGCAGGAGCCCGGGTCGTGAGCTACCTCGTCCAGCTTGTGCTTCAGGATGCCCAGCTGCTCATAGGTGAAGGGGATGGCGTCCACGCGGTCCATCTGGGTGGCCAGCAGGGACGCGTTCACACAAGCTTCCAGCTCCCACTTCTTGTAGAAGATGAGGTTCTCGTCTATCTCGAGGACGTCCTTGCCTGGGGGACAGGCCTCCTCTGGAGGGTACAGGGGTCAGGGGTCAGGGGCTGGACTTCGTTTGACCCCTTCTTCCTCCCACACCCGCAGTGAGATGAGATCTTAGGCAATTTGTGACTCTCTCTGTGCCTCAGTTTATCCACTGGCAAAACAGCGGGATTCTGTCCACTCTGTCGTTAATGAGATGTGCTGTGGAGCCGGGGAGCGGGCAGGTGAGACCCTACACGACAGCTGCCCACCCCCAGGGGTGCTTCCCAGCCTGCTGCTGGACAGGACGGGGCCCGGCTCTCACTCTCCACGTCCCGCCGGAGCCTCGGACGGAGGATGGTTTGTTCAGGCTGCCGCCAGGCCAGGTCACGAGAGGTATGTTTCTGCCACGCAGCCACGACACCCTGAGGACAAGCAGGGTCCCGGCTGAGCCTCGGGTGGCCCGGTGTCCCCACGGGCTGGGGCTCAGGGTCTTACCTGCGGGATGCTGTGGACGATGGGCTGGCCCAGCACGGGTAGCAGGCCCTGCAGAGCGTCCAGGGTAGAGACTGACCACGTCGACGGGGGGCTGTACAGACACGGGGCACAGCTCAGGGACCCCCGATGCAGCCCCAGACAGAGAGGGGGGAGACAGCCAGGCCACGCGGTGCCCCCGGCTGTGGAGGGGACTCTGGAGGCACTGGCAGGGGTTGTGGCGGCGGTGGCTGACCCTGGGCCTCCAGGCGGGGCCGTGGGTGTCCACGTTCAGGGCTGCTCACGCCACACACCAGGCAAGCCTTCGAGGTTCCAGACACCGCCGCTTACCCATAGGGGGCTCCTCCGCCCTGCAGAGCTGCCCGGGCCGCCTCCTGCTGCTCCCAGTCCAGGGGTCCCGGGCAGTGCACCAGCCGGGGTAGCACCGCCTCTGCCGACGCGGCCACAAAGCGCCCGGGCAGGTCGCAAGCCAGTCCTCCCAGAGCACGAACGTCAGCCTCACTCACCAGAGACCCCTGCACGCCCTGCACAGAGGCGGCCTCAGCACCTTTGGAACCGCAGAGGCCTCTCCCCACCACCCTGTACCCACCGCGCCGGGCCCTACCCGGCAGGCCAGCGCCGCGGGCAGCAGCCGCTGTCGCTCAGGAGCCCCCCGAGGGAGCAGGTCCACATTGGCCTTCGAGACGCGGGAGAAGAAACGGGTGCAGGCCTGGGACCCTGAGAACGCAGCCGGGCTGTGAAGAGAGGGTGCTGGGGACAGGCTGCACTAACCACACTGTCCCCACCGGAGAGGGGGTTGAGCTGGCCTCCACGTCGCTGCTGTGGCCTGGGGTCCAAGGCAGGAGGCAGGGGGCAGGGGGCAGGGGGCAGGGTGCAGGAGCTGGGGTGGGGAGGCAGGAGG